AGAGAGAGAGAGAGAGAGAGAGAGAGAGAGAGAGAGAGAGAGAGAGAGAGAGAGAGAGAGAGAGAGATGAGCGATACAAGTTTGGTTCTCACTTACTTGTGAAGTGTGCCGTCTAGTTCCACGAAGAAGAAGATAGCGGCCATAGCCGCGAAGCTCGACCACGGAGTAGCGAAGGAGGGTAAGAGAGTGGACAGAGGGAGAGACCGAGAAGGGAGAGAGAAGCCATAGCCGAGAGGTGAAGAGAGAGACGATATAAAAAAAAAAGAAAAAAAAAAAGAAGAAGATAGGGTGAAAGGAGGCGAGGAAGGTGAAGAGAAAAGGGAGGTTGGTGAGGGAAAGAGAAGCCGGCAGCCATAGCTGACCGAAGGGTTGACCAGGAAAGTTGACTGGTGTCGTTGACCGTCGGTGACCGGAGGTTGACCAGGAGTTGACCGCAGCGTTGACCAGCATTGACCAAGGCGTTGACCAAAACTTTGACCAAGCTGGAGTCGGTAAAATCTCGCCTAGCCTTCAGCCTATCCCTCGCCCTATGGATGTGCACACACCCTGTGGTACTTGCTGAAGTCCAGTCTGTCTGTCTGTCTCTTCTTTCTGCATTGAGTCTCTTTTGTCTGGGTGAAAGTACTCTGTGAATGAAGGATAGGGCCTTGTTGACCAAACCCACACGGGCTGAGTAGGGCTAAAGACTGTGTCTGACGACTCGACTGTCCCGGAGGCCTAACCCTCCCAAGGACCGGTACTGATAGGCGGGCTGCTCAGTGTGGCACAGTAGGCCCAAAATCCGAGCTGTGGGCTGCACAACAGGCCGTCTAAGTGTTGAGAGACCTGCTAATCGTGTCGTCCTGTCTGCGACGTTAAATAATTCATGAGGAGTTACGGGGGATCTCCTTAAATGCCTCCTGATCAGCAACAGGTCTAGGAGTGATAGCCATAGTGTAGGTTTAGGCTAGAGACCCTAGTTGACAGGATCCCAGAATCTTTAGATTGAGTCAGTAGGTCGTCAGTCAGGGGTTAGAGTCTAAGTGGTGAGGTTTGGAACCGTTGACTCGGTTGTGCACTTATCACCATGGTTGACCTTCATAGTAGGAAGAGTACTAGCCCCTATACCCAGGAGCAACAAGAGAAGATGGCCGTTTTAGTGAGAGAAAATAAGGAAAGGAAGTTGAAGGCGATCGCAGATGAGAAGGCGGCAAAGAGGAAGAAATTGGAGGAAGAGATGATGAGATTCAGCAGGAGAAGGAAGAAAAGAGAAATGCTGCCGAAGAGGAAGCAGCAGCAAAAGAAGAAAAAGAGAGAAACGTATGGAAGGAAAGGGAGAGAGTAGTGGCACGAAGAGGGATGAAGATGTAGAGATGGAGAAAAAGATCAGTGAGTGGGTCACTAATTTATCGTTGGGAGAAGATGAGGAGGCAGAGTTTTATGTGCCTCAGGATGAAAGGGATGCGTTAGCCCGTGAGCTGGCGGCAATGGAGGACCCTCTGGAACTGAGAGAAAGAGAAGAAAAGAAGAAGTTGGAGTGGAAACTGAGGATGAAGAGGGAGAAGAAGAGAAGGAGGGATGAAGTTAATAGATTGACCGCAAAAGTGGCAAAATTGAGGGATTGCAGACAAGAAATGGAGGCGCAGATGGACATGTCTGCCAAGATGGATAAGGTGCTGGGATATGTAGAGGTGTTGAGTGCAGCCTGGATGGAGGATCGCCAGGCCAGCAGGAGCCAAGAGGTAGCACTGAGTGCCATGCGGTTAGGATTTAGAGACTTGCGCGCGATATGGTTACCCACGTTGGAGGTGAAGTTAGGCGTCTGAGAGACAGCGTGGGCAAGTTCTGCGAAGGCGCCATCGAAGGAGCCAAAGCGATAGCCGCTGTACTGGGCGAGGCCAGACCCTGTAAGGAGCCCATAAAGCTTAGGTTTCCGAATGCATAGGGGGGAAAAGAAGGAGGAGAACTTTGATAATTGGGAGGCTAGTGTCAACAGTTGCATGTACTTAGATCACATCTTGACAAAGGAGAAAGTCCTCGTAGCCTTCCAGGCCCTCAAAGATGAAGCAGCCAGTTTTGCTAGATCCCTCGCGTGCACAGCCGGTTGTGAAAACAACCTGGTTGCATATTCCAAAGTCACCCCCATTCCTCAATTCTTCAAGCTCCTGAGGGAGCGATTTGCTGATCCAACGAGAGGCGTCAGGGCCTCTGACAAGCTACAGACCATCCACTCGCGACAGTGGAGGAGTGCAAGAGCACTCAAGGGCGTCATGAGCGGCCTGGTAGCTGTCCCAGACCATGGGGTCACTGAACCCCAGTTGGTCCAATTATTTTATCGTTCCATGCCAGAGTCCCTGAGGGGGCACTTCTTTGACAAGTCTCAACAGGCCGGCATCACTTATGATGTGGTGAGTAGAGAAGTCGTCCTGTATGAGTTAAAGTCCATGCCAGTATCCACTTTCTGGCATAAGGACTTAGACAAGGGGAAGAAGTGGAAAGGCCGTACCATCTCTGGCCAAGGGAGGGCCAAGGATCATATGATCCTCACCTTAGAAGAGGGTGGTACAGATGAGGTCCCATATAGTCAGATTGAGTGGGGCCTTGAGGAGGAGGACAATAGAGTGGGGCAGGGGAGGTCTTATGTTGCTGTCGCCTATGTATCCCCCGC